GACTTTGGCTATGTTTACAGTACCACATATGAGTTCCCACCCATTGAGTGAGCTTTAGGTCCAATTAGGTAGTTGTTGATTACCCCCATGATAAAAGTGCCACTACTGCCCCAATATAATTTGCTGTGCCTGTCATTGTTTTGGTCATTAGGCCTTAAAGCTGGGATTGAACATTGATGATGTTTTCCCTTAGCAGCTTGCATAGTGTTCTCCAAAACTATGAGAGCTGGTCTTCAGGAGTGGTGGCTTCCAGGTCAGTTCCAGCTTCATTCCTGTGTTCAAAGTATGTCTTAAGCAATAGGGTCTTACCTTCAAGTCCTGGGAGGTAATCAAGGGCTTTTGGCAATAGTCTGTGTAATTTTGGGAGTCTCTTGGACTACCCTAACCAACAACTCACAGAGATGTTCCTTCTGTCTAGCACTATTTCTAATTTCTTTCTTTATTCTAAATATGCATCCTCTTATTTACAGACAAGTGTGCCTTTCATCCCTCATCATAGAAGCTTCTTTTTCCAGCAGATGGAAACTATTACAGAATTCCAGAACTGGCCTTAGCAGCTTGCATAGTGTTCTCCAAAACTATGAGAGCTGGTCTTCAGGGGTGGTGGCTTCCGGGTCAGTTCCAGCTTCATTCCTGTGTTCAAAGTATGTCTTTAGCAATAGGGTCTTACCTTCAAGTCCTGGGAGGTAATCAAGGGCTTGTGGCAATAGTCTGTGTAATTTTGGGAGTCTCTTGGACTACCCTGACCAACAACTCACAGAGATGTTCCTTCTGTCTAGCACTATTTCTAATTTCTTTCTTTATTCTAAATATGCATCCTCTTATTTACAGACAAGTGTTCCTTTCACCCATAATCAATGAAGCTTCTTTTTGAAATAGATGGAGGCTATTACAGAGTTCCAGAACTGGTCAAACACCCATAATAATTTCTGTGGGATGCTTAATCCTAAGTGTCACCTCTTCCATGCAACCTCTACACACAGGATGAATGTGTTTCTTCACTCGCAACAGAGAAGTTTCCTCATGCAGCAGATGGTGATTAACATAGAAACCCACAGGTGGGCAATCTCAGAGAACAGGAGTCTGCAGACTGCTTATCCCTGAATAGGACACCTTTGTCCTGTTTCAATCCTTGATCTCCCAAGGCTCAGAGATCATTTCAGAAGAGAAGGTGGAAAGGTTGTAAGAGCCAGTGTGGATGGATGGCCACAAGGAGGCAGAATCTTCCAGACAGCTGGGCAGATACTCTTATGAATTCATGCACTAGTGACAGCACACGAAAGTCCTGTGCAAGCTCAAATCAGACAAAAATCTCAGCATAGACATGGGGAAGTGGTTAAGAAATTCCAATCCAACCTAAGAATTTTTTAGTAA